TGGGCCATGCCTTGTTTAAATCTTTATAATCTACACACGTTCTAAGTCTGTTCCCTTTTTTAGGGACTACGACTACATTGGCTAACCATTCGGGATTTTTCACCTCCTTAATGGACCCAATTTTGAGAAGTTTAGTCACCTCGTCCTTTATGAATACGTGCTTTACCTCGGACTGGGTCTTCTATTTTGCTTCACCGGTTTGAACCTAGGGTCCAGGTTTAGCCAATGTGTCGGTGGGATCCCTATCATGTCTAAATGAGACCAAGCAAAAAATCCATGTTATCAATAAGAAATTGAATAAGCTTTTTCCTGAGTTCGGGAGTTAATCTCGTTCCCAGGTATACCTTTTGCTCGGGAAGGTACTCGATCAATATAACTTGTTCCAGCTCTTCGACCATTGATTTGGTGGCATCGAAATCTTCTGGAACAATAAAGGTTTGAGGGGTTAGGAAATCCTCCTCTTCTTCTTCTATCTCCTACTTCCCCGATTCGGTCGAGGCTGGTGGCTGTGATTGCTATTTGGCTTCCTGTTTACCTTTGATGCTTGATCTTTCCGAGGTTTATAATGTCGATACTGGTGTAACATCATCAACCACAAACATTTCCCTTGCAGTATGCTGCTCCCCGTATACTGTTTTTACACCGTCCGACATCAGGAATTTCATCATTTGGTGGAGAGTCGAAGGGACTGCCCTCATATTGTGGATCCAAGGCCTTCCGAGTAGGGTATTGTACCTCATGTCTCCCTCGATCATGTGGAACTTGGTATCTTGAATGGTTCCAACCATGTTCACTGGTAGAGTAATCTCCCCTTTAATTGTTTTGCTGGCCATATTGAAGGCATTTAATACCCGAGCTGCGGGCACGATTTGATCTTGTAGGCCGAGCTGCTCCACAACCCTCGATCGAATGATATTCGCTGATCTACCTAGATCCATTAAAACACGCTTAACTTGACCTTTATTTAATAATATAGAAATTACCAGAGTGTCGTTGTGGGGCTGAGAAATTCCTTATGTTTCTTCGTCATTGAATGATAAGGAGCCTTCGGGTACATAATCTCGGGTTCGTTTTTCCCTAGTGATTGATACCTTAGTGTGTTTGAATATGGGTCCATGTGGAATGTCGATCCCGCCGACGATCATATGAATGACATGTTGGGGTTCCTCCTATTCATTTTTCTTGTTGGCGTCCCTTTCTCATAAATGATTCTTGGCTCGATCGCTGAGGAACTCTCGAAGGTGGCCCTCGTTGAATATACGGGCTACCTCATCCCTTAATTGCCTGCAATCCTCGGTCTTGTGACCATGCGTGCCATGATACTCGCACATCAAATTTGGGTTTCTTTGGAAAGGATCGGTCTGTATGGGTCTAGGCCACCTAGTATCTTTGATCCTTTCGATTGCCGATATAATTCCCGATGTGTCGATGCTAAAGTTATATTCCGATAATCAAGGTGTCTCTATAGGATCGGCATGCTTATCAAAACCACTTTTGCTCATAAGTCCCCGAGAATTCTATCCTCGATCACTTCTTCGATCATTCTGGGCGAATTGTATCCTGAACCATTGTTCCTTTGATATGCGGTATATGGTTGATATCGTTCTCTGTTCGACCTTGGCTCTCTGTCGATGTCCCTCTAGGTTTAAAATGCCGACCTGTTTGGATGTACTGACCCGGAAGGGTCTCCTAATTGGTCATCCTCGACCCTGATTTTCGATTGATATCGATTGTGCACATCTGCCCAAGTTACAGTCAGATACTCGATCAAGTTTTGTTTCAACTGACGTGATGCTATCGAACTCCACTCGTTCAACCCTTGGGAGAAAGCTTGAACGTCCCAATCATCTGTGACCGGTGGTAACTCCATGCGTTCCATTTAAAATCAGGATACGAACTCCCTCAGCATTTCGTTATCCCTTTGTCTTACCTTGAAAAGGTCCGATTTTCTTGTTGCGACCTTTATGGTCCTAGCGTGTGCCTTTACAAAAGAATCTGCTAACATGGCAAATGTGTCGATGTAATTTGGCAGTAGGTTGTGATACCAAATCATTGCTCCCTTTGAAAGGGTCTCTCCGAACTTTTTTAATAACACATATTCGATCTCATCATCTTCTAAATCGTTACCCTTGATGGCGCATATATATGAAGTAACATGTTCGTTAGGATCAGTGGTCCCATTGTATTTGGGTATGCCTGGCATACGAAACTTCTTTGGAATAGGCTTCGGAGCCACGCTTTGAGGAAATGGCTTTTGTACAAATTTCTTCGAATCCATGCCTTTCAAGATTGGTGGTGCTCTCGGTATCTGATCAACTCTAGAGTTGTATGTCTCCTCTTTTTTTATCATTAGCTTCGATTTTATTCTCTCCTGACTCGATTCTCTTGGTGAGCTCCTCGAGCATTTTCATTATTGCAGGATCGGTCCCCGATCCATTACAATTCGACCTCTCTAGCACCGGCTCAGTACGGCGAGTGATTTCCGGCTCAACCCCACTCGGAGTTCTATGTTGATTTTGAAGTTGAGCAATAGCAGCCTGCTGAGCCTGTAGCATCTCAAATATCACCTAGATACTAACTCCCCCGTCTCTTACGCCCTGTGTACCTTGGCTACCAGATCAACCTTCCCTGCACACACTCCCTTCAAGGTCCGCGCTTAGGTCTGCATTTAAAGCAATGTACGAACTGTCATCGACTGGATCGGCAACCGGTGCTCCCCCGAGGTTAGCCGGTGGCACCCCGGCTCCTAGAGCAATTACATTGTCCCGTGTGAAACCCGAGACCATCGTCACCACGTGTGGATGCGTTTTGTGAGTTTGACATATTTTAACCTGAGAAAAAATACTTTACAAGAACAAGCGTGAAATAATGTGTGTTATCAGAATCAGCACCGAACAATCACTATTATCCTTAGCCCCAAGGTGGGCGCCAAATTGTTTACCCTAAAATTCGAGTAACAATTAAACTTATATTATGATTTTAAGATATGTGATTTAATTCAATACCAATTGATGAATAAGGAATTAAACGAATAAATTAGAGAATAAAGTTAATCAAACCAGTATATTATCCAAGTCTCAACCTCGATTTGGGGTAGCCTCGAGGTGGAATGGCAAATGATAAAACAACTTTGATGAACAGTAACTGCAATAGCAAGAAAGTAATGAGTGTAAATTCTTTTCAATGAGCAATGAGGCTTCCAAATGAATGGGATCCCTCTTAATATAATAGGGGAGTCCTAAATAAGGTACACTTCTAATTATAGTAGAAAATCATATTAACATCTAATTAACCGTTGTTGATCGATCCGTTTCGAGATTCATGCTACGATTCTCGGCCAATCGCGGATATCTTGCCTTTCCCGTTATCAAGCCATGTCGGCGTCCCTCGAAGTATGCCTCTTTCTGGTCGCAATCGATGTCTACCCCGATCTGGACTCGACGTCTCAGCTCTTCGGCATAATGTTCCTACCCCGATCAAAGAATGAAATCGAGTAGCCCCGATTTCTACCGTATACATAAAGGTATCAAATTCATACTTGTACTAAGATCACATAGAGCCTACACGAAAATCAGTGATGCAAGTAATACTAAAACAACCTGGATTCTTAAGCTTAAGAGAGTTTTTCTTTTAGAATTGTGCCACACTTCTTGTAAGTGCCCAGTTCGTGCTCCTCCAGCTCCCTCCAGCTCCCTCCAGTGATGCAAGTAATACTAAACAATTTTTTAGTGATGGAGCTAATTTACTAAATAAGCGTTACTTGTTTGGAGAAAAGTTCTTAAACCGATAATAAGCGGTGAAAGTGTTTGGTGGAAAAAACTGATAAGCATTTTTTTCTATTACAATGACTTAAATGCCCTTAAAGTTGTTTATTACCGGATTTTCAACTCCCGAACGATTCAAAAACAAAAATAATTTATGTCTCAATTTAATATTTATGCAAAATTTATTAGTATTTTTAATAAAATTATATTGTGATAAGCTAAAATAAAACAATTAATGATTTGCACAAAATTCATTACATTATAAGAAATAGAATAAAGAATAATCGTTGGGTTCATGTTTAAATACAAAGAACAAGAGAAATTTCGAATCTGGGCAATATATGTTGTTGAACAACATTAACGTTTTCTCTTTAAAACACAATGCTTCTTTATTTCTTTTTCAAGAGATTGAGAAATAATTAGGAATATACCCAGATCTCTAATTATACTTTTTTTTTTTTTTTTTTTTTTTTTTTGGTTTTACAGATCTCTAATTATACAACAAGATGCAAAAAGGACTTAGCAAATAATTTAAGAAAGTAAAAGAAACTTTCTACCCTAAATGGTGCCAATTGCCAATCTGATTGTTCTTAGACAGTAGAGGAGGTTAAGAAGTAGAAAAAATGGTGAGTGAATGAGTCATGAAGAACGGTATATTTTAGGTTTTTGTTTTAGAGAAGGTATTTTAAAGATTATAATAAAATAATAGGGCAAAAGAGCAAATTTATTGGTTAAACCAAAAGTGCTTATAAGTCAAAAAAATCATAAGTTGGGAATGATCAACTTATGACTTATGGTTTATTTTGGCTTATAAGTCGAGTGCTTATAAGCACTTTTGTTGTTTACCAAACACGTAAATAAGCTAAAAAATACTTATAAGCCAATTTGACCAGCTTATAAGCTTAGCCAAACATCCTACAAATACCGAGACTTCTAAGGAACCACATTAACTTAGGCTGGAAGTGGAAAGAAGTCGGCCAAGTCTTATCACCTAAAGTTGTTTCTCTATTTAGAAATGGCTTTCAAGTAATTCCATTTGTTCAAGTACTCCTTAATAACCATCACGTCTCATTTTAATGAGATGTCTACATTTTAGCGACAGACGACCAGGATTTGGACAGACAAGGAGTGATAAGCAATCTCAGGCTATATTCTTCAAGCAGTATTGATGCTAAAACATACCGGGCTATATGAGCCACTTCACTGCCAAAACTACGAACGAAATAGGAATAACAATTGCACAAGAAAAAATGGGATGTCATAATCCAAGTGCCAGCTGTCAAAAAAATTTTACACCATCACATGTAAAATTGCTACCATGATTAATTTTACAAGAGCGCTAACCTGTAACTATGGGAAATAAATCATTCCTGACTACAAATTGGTGTCTATTCAAAGAACTAGACTACAATAAATTAATGTTAGCCAAGCGTTTCTTGAAGCTGGCATTCTACAACAGACCTAAAATCATTCTGGCGCACCGACATTGGAAACAATGTTTTAGACATCTTGCCTTCCTCTATGTGGCTGTTATTTTAGGCGGCTCGATAACCCAGCTGTTCTGTACTACTCACCACCATGATATTCCTGTCACTCCCGATGCATTGCTTGTCCATGCATGAAATGACGTTCATCTGCAACAGTATAAAGACATGCTGAATAACAGGAAAGAAAGAATTTGAAAGAATAGAAAGCTGATGAAGGGCCTTGGAAGTTTATAACAGTGCATCCACAAACAGCTCGAACAATACCAGATACTATGACATAAAAGCAATACAATTGATTTTGATTTATCCTATTAGTATTTATTATAGACATTATTATTATTACCATCGTTATTAGTGCTTTCTCATCTAGCCAAATACATGGGACGTTTCAGTTTGGTTTTGTAGGTCTGCAAAAACACAACACTGGAGATTACATGTTTCACTGTCGCTGACAATAATACTGATGGTGGAATACATTCTAGGCTACTTGTCCAGATTTTTCATTTAAACACTTATACTATGCCTTGTTCCAATCAAACACCTGAACTTCTTCATCAGTGTGTCTATCAGACACACATGGCATGGTGTTTGCTTCACACCAAAAGCTGAGCGCGTGAATGGATGGAAATTTTCAACCTCTCACCTTCCAAGCTCCAGCTCCATCTTGAGGTCAAGAAACATCATCCTTGCCATCAACTTCAAATGGCGAAGTTTGGAATTTTGTTCTTGCCATAGTCTACCAGAGACAACATCCACCATCACCATTTTTATTAATCATCTCATCCAACTTCACAGCTGAGAGGGGAGAAAGTTTGGCGATCAGTGTGCTGCTGGCTCTAAAGTAGCTTGATAAAGATGCCAGTCCGAAGATAGCAAAGAAACACATTAACATAGATAGAAGGAAATATAATTGTCTTGGTACATATTTTGAATTTACTAGAAAATTAAAAAGCATTGCTTGGACTTTTCCCGGAACAAATCCAGGAGCCAACACCATCACCGGTAAACAACTGACCACCAACGAGTATAACATAGTTCCATCCATATATTCCGCAACACATTACAAACAGAACAAACTTTAAGAAAAAATCAAAAGACATGACATGAATATGAGCAAGAAGATGGAGAGGTCACCGGATGAATGTTTTCCGGCCGAACTTCGGTGAAGTTCTTCACTGTACTTGAGACCGATGAGAACAGGTTTTGTGGGGGAGAAACGCAATGGAGCAGAGAATAGAAAATGAGAGAGAAATTAATAAGGTCTCGCTCTGAATAGAAATTAAACGAGCCCACCCCGATTAAGACTATGGGAAACTACCGAATATGTTCTTCCAACTAAGAAAATGAGGGAGAGAAATTAGTGGGCAATGGCTGAAGGGAGGGGAGGAAGGGGTTCAATTGACACGGAATTTTTTCTTCTGATGTCCAAATTTCATTGGTTTACATTTTTAAAGTTAACACGTGAATCTCACGCATTTAAGTGTTTGGGCTGATAGTAAAAAACATATTCAATAGACAAACTTTTAATACACTTCAAGTGCTCGATAGGTAACACCTTTAGTTAAGGTGTCTAAATGGAAAATTCTTACAAGATTGTAATTTTACCATACCGAAGGATGTGGTCTAGTGATCAACGAAGTTGATGAAAACTTTGGAGATTCCGTTTCAAATTCCAGTAGAGACAAAAAATACTAGGTGAAAGGTATCAGTGATTTGTTCCATTCAGCATAAACCTTGGTGAGTGGAGTTATTCGGTACTTATACTGGTGGGAGATAGCAGGCACAACGGTGAAATAGTCAAGGTGTGTCGTTATTACCACAAGAAAAAAACAAACTCAACAACAGTTTATTTTACCTTTTACATGGCATTTACTTCTTGATCTATCCCTTTTCTATTTATTTATTTATTCTTTTTGTGTGGGGTGGTCCGGGGGTCTATCGTTAACAGCCTCCTTACCCTCAAGGTAGGGGTAAGGTCTGCGTATACATTATCCTCCCCAGATCCCACGTGTGGGATTATACTGGATTTTTTTGTTGTTTTTGTGTGGGGTGGCCTGAGACTAAGATGAATTTAAATGGGAAAACATGGTAAGCGAGAGTTCATATAGCTAACCCCAACTTGTTTGGAACTGAGGCATAGTTATTTTTCTGTGTGGTGGCTGGGTTTTGTGCATTAAAGGCCATAGGTCCACTACAACCAAGTGGTATTCGTGAGCTATGTGACACCGACAATAGGTATGTGATCAAAGAAGCGAAAGCATTGAATTGCCATGTTAGCATAGGTAGTGGCAGAATGTTGGCTTTGGTAGTACTTCCTAGCAGTACTTTCACTGTATGAGATAGAGAACATATTGATGTACTTCTATTTCTATTCTTATTTCTAGGTATAAATTATGCACAGGCAAGGTAATTTAGGACATCCATATGGGTATTGTGACACAAAAAGTTCTATTTGTTGTCTTCCTTTTTTGATTGAAACATAAAAAGTAGGAGTCAAATTAATGCAGAATAAGTCACACTAGGTCAGAGAGTCTTCACTTGTTTCCCGTCCTCATTTTCATAGAAACACCCAAAAACCTTCCCACATATTTTTCCATTAGAAACATGGTTTTAACTGTGAACCATTTAAAAAGAAAGCCTGAAATAATTGGGGCAAGCTCCATATGGACTCTATTCATCTGTTCCTTCAAACCACCAGTTGCTCCATTACTCCGAGCCTCTCCTTGCCTCATCACAACCTTCGGTGTGAAAGTAATTCGACCCCCTAACCTGGGTATTAAACTGCACGCCAACCTCCATCAGTTTCACAAGAATTTAAGTTTCCTCAAAAAATCCAGAACTCTTCTTTCCATCATTACTCTCTCTTTCTGGACTTCCCGCTGATGATCCAATTAACGCTCATAGACCTTCAAATTGTCACCATTATTAAAAGACTATTATTTCTACTTAGCCATTTGAGTAGAGTGGTCCAGTCAGTCTATTAAATCAGGATCCTCACTTTTTCTAATACAAATTAGAAACATCATAGATGCCGAAACATCCATGACTTCTTTCATTCTAGCAATTATTTGTTTATTTCTTTTTCACAAGAGCTTTAAAATTATTAACGAATTTTAGATGAATTGGAAGATACTTTCATACTTCTTTTAATTTGCAGAAATCGAAGATGTCCAGAGCAGCTTGTGCATGCCTCGACTAATCTACCTGTTACCTCCCACCAACACAAGCACCAAGTATCTCAGGCGACCAAGGCTTAGAGAACAACAACAACAACAATAACAACAAACAACCCAGCAAAATCCCACAAGTGAGATCTGGGGAGGGTAGTGTGTACGCAGACCTTACTCCTACCTTATAAGGGTAGAGAGGTTGTTTCCTGTAGATCCTTGGCCGACCAAGGCTTAGAGAGATGGTAAAAAATTACCTAGTGTTTTTTACAGTGTCATACTTAATTATTCGTTGTTTCTATTTATTACTTGTCCAATACAAAGGTTCAAAGTGCAACATCACAGAAAAATAAGTGACACAAGAAATAGAACTTCAGACTTAGGAAGGTCACAGGGATTCCCCAAATCCAAATTATTTTATGACAATGCCTAAAATGAAAAAGAAATGAAAAACCATTTCCACAAAGTCATACCACTTTCACCATCAGATAACTCTCCAAGCCTTGAAATGGCATCTAGCAGTGCTTGTTCATGCTCCTGCGCAGTTAAAAAACACTCGGTATCCTTGTGCAATTAATACGTGGATATTAAGTATTAACAGCGATTGGAAAGTTGAGGGTCACAAACCTTCAGCACTTTCTTTGCCTTCTCAACCTCGAGAGGATCTGGATGGCCAGCACCAAAGATCCTCTCCACCTGACCACATTCACTAGTCAATGAATCAATGCACAGTGAAAGATCTACAGGTGAGGCCTGTTAACAAATGCAGCACTTACCTCTTTGATCAGTGTATCAGTATGAAGTAACTGAATATCATCAGATCCTTTCTTTCCTATGCCATTCTGTGATATTAGAAAATCTTTTCTGGATTGGGCTTTAGTCAACCCCCTACCTCTCCCTGCACCTGGAGCACTATCATGTCCACCAGATCTAGTCATGACATGACCTGATCCACCATAATTTCCATGATGAGAAATTCCAGGGTCTTCGCCCTCCCACTGAATATCCTCAGGAGAAATCTGTCACAGTAGGGAAATACAAGTCTAAACCTTGAAGAAGCTCTTCATAAAAACTGAAATCAATGTTGGAAGACAGAAACTGACTACCATATGCCAGAGTTTGTTTCTTTTTTCGTGTTGATAAACTTTACCACAAGCAAGTTAAGAAAAATTAATGACAGATGAATGAGGAGCTAGATTAACAGGAAACCTCTAGTTTGTTCACATTTTTGGAATATCAGGCATGTATCAGACATGCATTTTGACGCCTCCGCAAAATGCTGCAGATCATATCATGCAATACCAGTCTAAGAAAAGAGGCTGAGAAAGCTTTTGCAACCAAAATCTCTACGCATGTATGTCACACACATTAACTTTTATAACCAAGATAATATGTCATTCATTTGGAATAGCAATCCACAGAGCAAGTTAGTATGTCAATATCAGAACCAGAAGTTTCTTGTGTGATTAAGGCAACTTCAAATCATTTATCGGATAATAACTAATGCCTGAAAATTCACTGCAAGTAGTCCAGTTAAAATTTCCAATTTATTTCAGTGGACATCCAGGTCACTAAAATCAATTGCCACAAAGTGAACTGTATTCCAACAACCATAGCTCAAAGTAGTCATGTCTACATTCTTCATATAACATTCAAGTGCTGGTGACATAAATCCCTGTACAACTTAGAAAGAAGGTAACTGTGAAAATTTGAAAAATGGTACACTCTGAAACAGCTAAAAAACTGCTCTCCACCTCGGAAGAGATGAAAACAGGTAAGTGGATGTGTTTGTGTAACTGAGCTAAGATAATATTATGCTTTCTGTAATTAAGAAAAACCCCTTCTAACCTATATATAGAAGATCCACAGAATAAGATAATATATTATTTTCCAGAAACAAACTTCCCAAAACCTAGATGCAAGACAACTCTAGTTCACTAAAAGACTGACAAAGTTACATATGTATGCTCCCTGAAAGAAAACATAAGCTACCTCAATAAACTCAGACCAAAAAGAATCCCACCCGACTGACTCTATGGCATCTCGCCCGTGCACCAGCAATGCTCCAAACAAATGCTTAACTAGGACGAGAAAGTAAGCCCATCATATAACATGATACACTTAAAACAGTTTGTGTTTTTTTTTTGATAAAAAGAAATCCATGAGGGTTAATGGTGCACAAATCAAAACTGGGAGGATCCCCCCCCCCC